TTTTTTTTAAAGTAGGTTTCATGCCCAGTGTGGAGCCCAACACAGGGCTTGAACTCACAACCCTGAGATCAAGAGTCAGACACATAACCAACTGAGCCACCCAGGTACCCCTTATGCTGCCTTATTTTATGCTGATTTCTTTTTTTTTTTAAGATTTTATTTAGTTATTTGACAGAGAGAGACACAGTGAGAGAGGGAACACAAGCAAGGGGAGTGGGAGAGGGAGAAGCAGGCTTCCTGCGGAGCAAGGAGCCTGATGCAGGACTCGATCCCAGGCGGGACTCGATCCCAGGACCCTGGGATCATGACCTGAGCCGAAGGCAGATGCTTAACGACTGAACCACCCAGGCACCCCTGCTCATTTCTTTCTAGCTCTTGATTGCCCTACTAGATTGTAAGGCCTGTGAAAGCAGAGGCCACATCTCACTTGTCTCTGTGACTTCACTGTGTTAGGCTTCTAAAAATGTCTGAAGATCAAAGAAGATGAGTGGTTCAACTGGTTTCATGAGGGAAGAACTTGCCTGGGAATCTGAGCACAGCTGAATTGTATAGCCTGGAGCCCATTTCCTCCTTCCTAAAACAAATCCAACTGATAATGTCTCCCTTCTTTCCTACAAGGATATTTTGAGACAAAATTGGGTTATACATAACATTTTGAGGCGTTTGGAGATAGAATTAGATAGGACACTTGCCTCTCACAAGTTGTATAATTTAGTTAGATGCCATCTTGTGCTGGAGTCCCCTTTAATGTGAAGACTTTCTTGCAAGCCTTCTTTTGAAAAATATATAATTTAAATGATTTAGCCTTTCCGGTGATTTTGAAATGGCTTAAGAGATTACGAATCAAGACTGTATCGGGGGACTAAGTTAATTACCTGTCTCTGCCACCAGTTGCTCTATCCATGACCCTGGAAAAAGTCACTTCTTTCTCTCTGCTCATTTTCGCCTGCTCTTCCAATGTGTGTTGTCAGAATACATTTTACTGTTGTAGGAAATAAATTCATGGAAATTCAGAGTTCTGAGCAGACTGAGCATCAACAGTTCCTGGCCCATAACAGGGTCTCAGTAAGTATTTGTAGATACTTACTAATGAATGAACTGATGGGTGCATTTCCAACACTGCAGGTGACTGCAGTATTCCTGGCAGGCGCCGTTTCCCCAGCCTCTGCTTCAGTACTTCCAGTGGTGGAGAGACTTCACTCCCTCTGAAGGCCACTCATTCCCTTTGTCAACAAATTTAATTTCCATCAATGCCACCTTGGACTCCTGCGAGGCGTCTTCCAAATCTGCGGGGCAGTTAATCACTGCCGAGTTGCGTTCCTCAAGCATCTTAGACATATCTGTGTTGTAGTGTTGATCTGGGTACATATAACACTCTGACTTATAACGCCTGTTATGTCTCCCTTTCTTGACTGTGAGCTCCATGAGGACAGGGGGTGTCTTATTTTCTTTATACTCCCAGCTCCTGACATAGTACAGAATAGATGAGAGACTGGGGGAGGGGAGAACAGAGAAAATGAGAAGAAAGAACGATAATAACAGGGAGCACATGTATTGATGGCCACCTCAGCGGTCCTCCTAAGAAGGATGTACTCACCCAAGGAGGTGTGCACCAAAAACCATCCATTGGGCTTGAGGAAGAAACTATTCCCATTTTTTTAAACTCAACCATTTTAATTTCTATTTTTCTGTATGTTTTATACTATGTATACTAGTTTAATATAGCTATACATGTGTTTTGTTTATTTTTATTTATTTTTAAAGATTTTATTTATTTATTTGACAGAAAACGAGAAAGCACAGGCAGGGGGAACAATAGTGGGAGAGGGAGAAGCAGGCTCAATCCCAGGATGCTGGGATCATGTCCTGAGCCGAAGGCAGACACTTAACCAGCTGAGCCACCCAGGCGCCCATGTGTTTCATTTATAAACAAACATATTAGAAGGTACATACGCACACATTTTTTCATAAAGGTGCACCTCATAAGTTTGGAGACCCTTTGTATAGCTGTTTGTCAGGTACTATGCTAAGTATTTTACATGCATTATTTCATTTAGCCCATTGAAAATCACGTGAGGTATATACTATAGTTCCATTTTACAGATGAAGAAACTGAGGCACGGAGAGGTTAATTTGCCCAGTCACATCCAGCTGGTAACCGGTGGGACAAGGGCCCAGACCCAGATCTGTCTGGCTTAACCACTTCCCATTCTCTCTTGTTTTCTGTCCTAACACCTAGGGTTGTACCTGAGGCACAGTACAGGTTTGTAGATTAAATACATGAAATGAATGGATGAATTAATCATACTGAGTACATCTTAAAGCTTTCTCAAGAAAAATTGTTAAAATGAAAATAAAATTTCCTTTCTCACTATAAAGGTGTGTTGGCAACAACAAGCCAAATGACATGCCCAGGTGACACAATGGAACATTTCATTCCATTTCTTGGCAGAAAAACTGAAGCAAAGCCCAGCAAGTCACTGTTTATCGCTGAGCCTGAAGTCAGGCTGCTAGTCTTGTTTTCACATATGATGACTGAACTACCTTGTTTTTATGGAGCTATAACTCATATACCATAGAAATCAGCTTTTTAAAGAGTACAGTTCAGTTTTCAGTGTATTCACGAAATTCTGCAGCAACTTAATTTCAGAACGTACGCATCACCTCCCAAAGAAACTACACACCCACTGGCTACATACCCGTTCCTGCTTTCTCTGTCCTAGGCAACCACCAATCTGCTTTCTGTCTCTATGGATTTGCGCATCCTGGACATTTCATATAAGTGGGATCATACAATCTGTGACCTTTTGTCTCTGACTTCTTTCACTTAGCATAATATTTTCAAAGTTCATCCATGTTGTAGCACGTGTATCAGTACTTTGTGACTCTTCATGGGCAAATTACGTTACATTGTGTGGATAAACAAGAATCAATCCATCAGTTGATGGACATTTGGTTGTTTCCACCTTCTGGCTGTTATGAATGGTGCTGCTGTGAACATTTGTGTTCAAGTTTTTGTATGAACATATGTTTTCAATTATCTTGGATATATACCTAGGAGCAAGTTGCTGGGCCACATGGCAGATGTTTAACATTTTGAGGAACCACCAAACTGTTTTGCAAAGTGGTGGCACCATTTTACATTTCCACCAGCAGTGTGTGAGGATTCCAGTTTCTTTACATCCTCACCAACCCTTGTTGCTATCAAACTTTTGTATAACAGTCCTAGTGGTTGTGAGTGGGATTTCACTGTGGTGCTGATTTTTATTTCTCTAATGACAGTGATGTCAAGCATCTTTTCTTGCATTTATTACTCCCCCAACTATTTCTTCTGAATTCAAATTATTGCTATTTTTCTTTTTTTTTTTAGTGTCTTTCATTGGAATATAAATTTTGTTCTTCTTATGCTATCTGTTTTGTCCCAGGAACTCTCAAAACATATTAAATACTCATGAAATCTCCTATTAGGGATTGCATAGCCTCTCAGGGTGCCAGGCGGCTGGAGCCATGAGTTGTAAAAATTTAAATGAGTTTCCACCAGCAACTTTCCAGAAACTCTCTATGTTACATTGTTAGATCACAAGCTTTGATAATCCCAAAATTATGATAATGATAGTGCTTTATTTAAAACATCATAGAAACACCAAGACTTTTTTTAAATTATATTTTCTTAACTTTTTATATCCCTGCGAGGCAGAAAAGAAGAGAAGGCAGTAGCTGTCTCAAAGGGTCCTCCGAGAAAGTAAGTGTAGAGATTTGAATATCTAAAAAATTCTAGTGTGTCATGAAACAAACCTTTTATCTTTTTAGAGACGGAGGTGGACAGCGGGGAGGGAGAGAGAGAATCCCAAGCAGGTTCCATGCCCAGCATGGAGCCCGATGCAGGGCTTAACCAACTGAGCCACCCAGGCACCCCATGAAATAAACCTTTTTGAGCACAACCAATGTTTGCAGATGGATAAGAAAATTTCAAGATTGTTTTTAAGTTATATGGCAGTCCTGGATATAAATCAGTACTCAAATGTGATGCTAACATTTCAGCGATGTTGAAATTAACCTTTGCTATCAAACTTGGTTTAGATCACAGAGAAAGGAAAGGTTTTGAAAATTCCATATGACAATTTATTCCCTGTACATTGAAAGAATATTTACATTAGCCTCTAAAGATTTGTAGTAGTATTCATGGGAGGAAAAAAACGCCTGACAGATTACATGTATAGTAAAGTCCATATCAGTGTAAGTGTTTATTATAGCTGTGTGGTCTTTCTGGCTTTCAGAACTTACATGTTCACATTTTAAGATTAAATTTTATTCAATGGCTTTTATCAGTATTAGTCATTCTCAACCTTACTGTGAGTTGAATGTATTTGGTCATAATGTTCACAGTGATGAAATTCATCAGTATTCTTGAAACTGGACTTTTATATGGAAAGTGATTTTTCTTTTTAAAAAAACTTTTTGAATTTTTGTTTAGTCAAATACTGGTCAAGCACCAGACATGGGAAATACAGTGAGTGTAAGGCAGTGTTTGCTTTTGTAGAGCTTGTAGACCACCCGCAAATGCCAAAAAACCATTAGGTAATTGCAATTTTGATGAATGCTAGAAATGAACACCTTCTGATTCCAGGAGAACACTTAGTGGAGGGGCCGCCCCAGTTTGTGCTTGTCAGAAAAGGCTTCCCTGGGAGATGACACAATGTGGGACCTAAAGGGCACCTAGGAGTTAGCCAGCACATGGGCCTCACAGGCTAGCACTAAGGCAGACACGAGCTTGATGCTCTCGAGGACTTTAATGAGTGTGGCTGATATGCCAGGAGCAAAAAGACAAGGTGAGGCGGGGCGGGGGGCAGGCATTGTATAAGGGCACGTTAAGGATCTGGGCCTTGGTCATTGGAGAGCCACCAAAGGGGTTAAGGCTGTAGAGTAGCATGTGTTGGTGGTCTGTAAATTAAGAACGGGCAGTGACCCTTTGCTCCGTCCCTTTCTTCTCTCTTGATCAGGAATATGATTGGAGAAACTATCAGCCCAGCCAGATGAGTGAATCTGAGTTGCAAATGCTGGCAAGCCTGCGGCGGCAACAGAATGAAGAACTGGAGGACCCGGGGGCTCCCCACGGCCTGAGCGCATCCCAGGTTGACAACTGTAACGTCAGCATTAGTACCAGCAGCGACGACACGACTACCTGGAACTCCTGCCTGCCACCAGTGAGTCCGGGGCTCTGGGTCTTTGTGTACTGCCTTAATGAGGAGCAAACTTCTTTCCAACAAAGCTCAGCCTTGCCTGGGAAACCTAGGGCCAACATGAGAACCCTGCCTATGAGAAATATTCGGAGCCCATTCAGGAGCACCTGGCTGGCTCAGTCAGTAGAGCAGGCAACTCTTGATCTTGGGGTTGTGAGTTCAAGCCCCGCATTGGGTGTGTAGATTACTTACAAATAAAATAAAAGAAAGAAATATTCAGACCCCATTCTGAATTAGTGTTTTAGGTCTGAGGGCATTGCCTTTTCTTAAGCTGTCTTACTTACCTTCAGATAATGTATGTTCATTGTGTGGTGATATATACGAACATACACTGAAAGCAAAAAGGAATCATTTTACTGTCAATTCTAGGTCTCTCACTGTATCCGCAGCTCCTAGCACAGGCCTGGCACATAGAGAGGGTTCAGTATTTGTTAAATGAATGAACAAAAAAGATGTTTGCTGCTCCCAGTGTCTGAGGGCCGTGATAGGTACTGCAGACAATTCAACAGCTTATCTTTTCCTGTATGTTTATACAGTTAAAGCACTTTGGTGCTTTAAGTATGGCCCATCATCCTCACAACGGACCAGCAGAAGAGTTGGATCAGGTCAAAGTCTTACTGTCTTTCTGGTGAAGAAACTAAACTCTCCTGGGCCCAAGCTTCCACGCCTGGTCAGTGGTGGAGCCCAGAGCAGAGCCCGGTATTTTGACTCAGTCTATTTTCCCCACTTCTGGCCTTGAGGATCTTACGGCTGAATTGGAAAGACAAAGGGGAAACGCTGATAGAACAGTCCTATACAGCTTTAAAAATCATAAGGCAGAATAGTAAAATCAGTATTTTAATAGTGGTATTTAAAGCTACTGTTTCTTTAAACACCTAGAAACATTTTAAGACCTCCATGAACCCAAGGAAATTTACTTATACTTTACTTACATTTACCTCTAAGGCCACATTCAACATCAAATCAAACATATTAAAATACACCTTCATCCAACAGTAAATATTACTTTTTTATTATACAATTTTTGAAGGGAAATATAAAATTTATTTATATTAATATAAAATTAGGTAAAGGCTGAGTTCAAGTGTAGTTGACAGTGGATAACATACATTTTATGTATCTAATTAAATATTTATTAATTTTACAATTTTCTTTCCGAGAAATTTTTTTTTTCAAAGTCTCCAGCATCTTTGTAGATGTTAAAAATCTCGGAGGTTCTGGCACTAGGCTTTCTATGTGTTACCTAATTCAGTCCTTACTGCTATCTTGTGTGGTAAGCACTGTTGAGTTCCCAGTTCCAGAGGAGAACATTGAGACTCTTGAGTGTAGTGATTCAGACTTAGCTTGGCATGACTCCTGAGTCTGAGCTCCTAACCACCATGATAGGGTGACTTCTCAGTGTGTGACTTAATTTGCCAAATGGGCACCATGGATATCCAGCGGATGGTGACATTTCTGCTCTGGAGAGTACATACACGTCTTAATGGAGGAGGAATTCAGATTGACTCTAAGGAGATGTAGGGAAAGAAGGATGTTTTCGAGAGTGTTTTTTATCCCTACTTTGCCCACCCTCTAGGCTTCCCTTGCCTTAGTTATGTTTTCATTAAACTAAATGATCAAACATGCATAAGGCTTCCAGCAGCCTTGGTGCCAAAGAGTATCTACCCATCCAACAAAAACACCCCTGTGTGCTGGTTACTCAGAGTATCCTTGTAGCAGATCTAAGAACATTAAGAGTAAGTTGCAGATTTTTGCCAATGCAATTTACAATGGAATTGAAATATTGCCTTTCTTATAAAATATTCCTCAGCAGTCAGTTAAATGGAAAGAAAGAGAACAGTGGCCTCCTGAACGAGCTCATTCTGTCATGAAGTAGCTTGGAGACCAACATTACAAAGGGCAAACCGAGGAATGATTATTTATGGACTGAAAAGGCTGAGCTCTTGGTTGCCCTGGATACCGTGTTCTCATCACTGTCCTGTGCTGGCAAGGACTAGAGTCCTCATGCACAACTACTCCGCTCTAAAAGTATACAGCCAAAAATAACACCATTGGTAATGAACTTAATAACCCCTCCGTTTGACCAAATGAGAAATTGAAAACAGTCCATTTTTTAGACAGAGAAAATAATTGAAAAGCCCAATTTGGGTATTCATAAGATATGTTTATTACTACATCAAATTCAGTCTATTTCAATATTGGAACTATCACCAAATGGAAAATTGCATTTAATGAACTCTGCATCTTGTTGCTCATATAGAGTTTAAATAGAGCAATTTACAAGAACTATTGTGGTCTTTCTGAGAGCTCATGCCTTTCTCTTTAGAAGTTGTACAGGGAGAGTGAAAAAGAAGAAATGAATGAACTCATAACTTTATTTAACACAATGGTACCCTGCTTTTCATGTATCCCAATGGCGCCGCCGCCATCCACAGTGACACTCCACCAGAAATTTGGAGTACATCTCTACTTCTCCCACTGCTTCATTTCCAAATCCTAAGAATCCTCGGGATTTTACCCCTCCCTACCTAACACCATAACCTTGGCACTTTACTTTTCATCCACGTTCCCTCAATAGGCTCCTGGTACCTCTGTACCTCCCGTCCAAGCACCTGATGGTGAGGAACATCTGTTCTGAGGTCAAATGGCCAAGGTTCAAGTCCAAGCCGTGACCTTTTAAAACACTTGGCACTATATCTGAGACATAATAAGTAACTAATTTAGTAAATTAAGGTTATTTGTCATTATTATTGTCATTATTATTCACACTAGTGATCTTCCTAAAGCCCAGATCTAATCTTACCTCTTCCCTGCATAAAGCCTTTCCTAGTTCCCACTGGCGCTTTGGTTTGGCATACAGGACCCCCCATGGTGTGAGACCTGCTTTCCTCCCCCAGCTCATCTCTCATGTTCCTCACCTTTTACTCCATGCTTCGGTCCAAGTTATAACTTCCTGAATGCACTCTGCACACATGCTTGTACCTTATACCTGATGATCTCTCCAGACATAGCTCCAAAGCCTGCTGTAGTCCTTCTCCAGGCCTCATTGTGAGAGACAGACCTTCCTTTCTGCCACTAGAGCTAGGAATATCTCAATGACACTCTTGTTCCTGAACCCAAGTTCAGCTGCCTGTCACCTGAAAGATTGTTACTCAACAGATGAGTTTGGATTGGAAAGGAGTTTGAGCTTTATTCAGGAGGCCAGCCACCTGGGGAGAAGCCAGACTCTTGTCCAAAGGCCAACTCGGAGGGTTCTGCCTGGCCCAGGGGTTTTTAAAGGGGATTAAGGCAGTTAATCAGCAAGGGGAGTACAGTGGCCTGCAACATATCTTGGTTCCATGCAGACCCGATGGTGCCAAGGATAGACATTAACTCAGTGCTAGGGGCTTGTGCAAGGGGGTCCGGCTCTTGTTTCCCGATGTGCAGGAGGACTGTGTTCTCCCTGCAAAGGAGGGCAAGTTCTGCAGATACACAAAGGGAGGTGAGTAAATTCATTTGTGTGACCTGAAAAAGAACAGCACCTTGCTACAAAATTACTGGGCTCATCTGAAAGCCGAGGTGGCTTCCAACAGACTTGCTGGCCTCTGTGGCCTGGGAAAGTTCTCGTCCTTCACTCCTCAAGGCTGGTGGTCTGCAAATCTCAAAGAAAGTTAAGTTAGTTCTGTTACAGATCAAGGGCCTTCGGTCAGCAAGTAAGGAGTGTGTTAACTTGAAGCAACCCTGAAGACCAGCTGTTGGGGTGCTGTTAAACTCTCACCTCAACCTAGCTTATCTGTCTCACATTAATTCATTCCACATACTTGTTCTTGTTTTTTTTTTGCTTTCATTTTTAAGTGGTACAATAGGCTGTGAACTATGCTGGGGATAAAAATAAAGCTTGACCTGGCCTTGAGATGTTCACCATATTGGAGAGAAGCAGAGAGTCAACATCTCACTGTAAGTCAGGGCACTGAGTGATGACAGAATGAAGAGTTTCATAATAGCTCTTAGAAGAGAGGCCCCCGTCAGAGAAAGCAGTTGATTCTACTCTTGGTTTAAAGGATACTTTCACAGAGAAGGCTACAATTAAGTCAGAGTTCAAGAATGAGTGCAAGCTCATCAGTGGAAAGAGGGGGAAAGGAATTCCAAGTTCTGAAAAGGAACAGAAGAAATCTATGGAGGTGAGGGTGGAGTCTCTCCTTGAACAGGATAATCTCCTCTTAGTGTCCTTGTTTCTCCATCACCTTGAACAGAACTTGGAATGACTCTTTGCTTGTCTCACCATCACTCCCCACCCCTAGCCAGCATATACCCTGAAGGCCCCCATGCTCTAGTTGCACCATGCAGCATGCCCATCACTGCCATGCCCTGTGTCCAGATCATGTCAGTCATGTCATTGCTCATCGTGCTCTTCCCTCTGCCTGGGGAGACCCTCCATCCCTCTTCTCTACCCGGAACACTCCCTTGTTTTCCAAGGCCCAACCCAAACGTCACTGCTTTGTGAAACCCTCTCCGACACTCCACCACCCTGCACAGAATTATTTCTTCCTTCTGTGGGTTCCCATTATCTTCAGTCTCAATGTTAGCATTTACCACATCAGGGAACCATTGTTAGTGATGTGGCCGAGGCCTGGTTGTGAGCTCCTTGAAGGCAGTCCCACGCTGAGCACAGTGCCTGGCATGAGGTCACACTCAGTCACTGGTTATTTGTCATCGACTGAATGAATCAATCAGAAACATTAAAAAGAGTCCTTTTTTACTCTACAATAAGGTAGTTTTCATCAAAATTCCAAAATGAACATCAGCTTTGCTTTGCTTAAATAAACCCTGAACGATGCAGATAATATTTTACATTCAAGATTTGATAAATGGATATTAAATATACAGACAAAGGAAAAAGCTCTCTCCGGACAGGGCTTGATGACCAATGGTATAAAACAGAGATTTAAGCAGGTCACATTCAATTTAGCATCTTTACCTAACAA